GGATTCAAGCAATTCCCCTGTCTCAGCCTCCCGAGTAGCTGGGATTACAGGCGTGCGCCACCACACCCAGCTAATTTTGTATTTTTAGCAGAGACGAGGCTTCTCCATGTTGGTCAGGCTGGTCTTGAACTGCCGAACTCAGGTGATCCACCCACCTCGGCCTCCCAAAGTGCTGGGATTACAGGCATAAGCAACCGTGCCTAGCCCTACTTTATGCAACTTTTTAATTTCCTGTGAGATTGAGAAGGTCGTTTCCCTCTCCAAACCTGGAAGAAAAATTTCTCATGTAGTACTTGTGTGGTTTCATACTTTACAGTTGACACCTTGATACCCCTAGTCTTTATTTCCTTATAGGGAGAGCATAAGCAAGAAGCTTTATGATTTTTCAGCAGTAACCTTAGTTGCCCCCACACTATCACTGAATAATCACATTTTTATCATTGGTCGTATCATCAACATAACACATTATCAAGGAAGTTTTTTTTTTCACAGTTTGGGTTTCTAAGAGTATCTTTTAATATTAATAAATATGAATCAGTGGAGGGGGATAAATAGACAGGCACTGAAAGGGGAGAGTGAGGCCACCTGAAGGGGCAAAGCCCTGGAAGTGAAGGTCGACCCTCTGGACACGGGCTCCTGCTGGCGATGGCTCCTGCAGCTGTCACCTTAGTGCCTGGAGACCCTCTGCAATCCAGGGGAGCATGATGTAGGCCCCCTTTTTTCTTTTCTTTTTTTTTTTAAGAGACAAAGTCTCACACTGTCACCCAGGCTGAAGTGCAATGGCACAATCTCGGCTCACTGCAACCTCTGCCCCCATGGGTTCACACGATTCTCCTGCCTCAGCCTCCTGAGTAGCTGGGATTACAGACCCCTGCCACCATGCCTGGCTAATTTTTTGTATATTTAGTAGAAACAGGGTTTCACTATGTTGGCCAGAGTGGTCTTGAACTCCTGACCTTGTGATCTGCCCACTTCGGCCTCCCAAAGTGCTGGGATTACAGGCATGAGCTACTATGCTCAGCCCATAGGCCCCCTTCCTATGGATCATTCTTTGACTCTGTACAGGGAGGACCCATTTTTCCTTCCATTTTCTTCCCATGGCAGGTGGCATGGGCTATATCTGAAGCCTTCCCCTCATTGCTGTATTGCTTCTGTGCCTGTTTGTGCCTTCTGCTGACCATGAGCTCACTGAGGACAGGCATTATGACTTTTTTTCTTTTTTTCTTTTTTT